ACATAAATGTTTACAAACTAAATAAAACGTCAAACAATTAACATAAATCAAACATAAAAACATGTAATTATGCACTACTAATTAGTGTGCATCATGGACATATTAGAGTTGGAGAATGGATCATACCTCATGTGAGGTACATCATCTATTTGTGCAAGTTATTCTTCTTGGAGCTTTGGGCAAAAGTCTGTAAGATGCCTGTGAGACATGCAAATGTTGTATGTCTTGGCATCTTGAGCTTTTGAGTTAAAGATAGATTCCTTTATTAGAGAAGTCAAGAAGGAAATTTGACTCTCTAAGGATGAAGTGTTGGTATCCATATACTCATAACTCATGTAAGCTCAGAAAATAGAAGAGCAAGATTTTTTTTTTGTTTTTGATTTTTATAAAATAAAAAGAAAAGTAATTGCCTTTCCCCGGCAACGGCGCCAAATTTGACGTATACTTTTTAACAGTGCGTCAATATAATTTCAATACTAACACTTATACGTAGTATAGCGTAGTAGAGTTCGTATCCACGGGGAAAAGAATAATTCTCTTTTTATGAAACTTAGTAAATAAAAGGGGGGATTTGGATTGAGTGATTTAATTTAATTAAAAACTAATATGAACGACCTATATGAGATTTAATTCAAAGATAAAAAGGACTTGGCATTGCTACTTTCCACTTGTTGATATATTTTAGTCGATCATTGTTATATCTATAACTTATTCCCTCTCGAATACTCAATCGGGGAGTATATCCACTTCATCGAGGGTAGTTATTAACAACAACCGTTCATTAATAACCCTTACTATTAATCAAATATAGAACAACGCCTTATACCGATTTAATAGTAGCATTTAATCTTTCTAACTCCTTGATGAAATCAATTGAGATTGATAACCTCAACACAACGGTTTCGGTTTAACCAACAAAATTAATCCCTCTTAAGTTTATTAACCACGACCGTGCATTAATAAACTGAAGTTACTTACTTGTAAAACCATCAACGATTAACCATCGATTCTTTGATCATTTCTAGTTATAATTAATATATGAAACAAAACTAGTTGATCCTTTAAGTAATGTTCAAAATATTAATATGAAATATGAGTAGGAATTAATTAATATTCAAGGAAGAATATTATTAAAGAAGATGAATCCTACTATAATTAATATCAAGATGTTAACTAATTGTCATCTTAGCAACACTCCCCAACATTAATATAGAGGAAGAAAATACCATTCTAACTAATGTCGAGATGTTAACTGATTGTCATCTTAGCAACACTCCCCAACATTAATATAGAGATGGTATTAAGGAAAGAACTATTAATTAATATTCAAGGAAAGAAGTTAAGAAAATAACTCACAACTTTAATAATCAACAAGCTTCAAGAGCAACACCAAGAAATGGAAGTTTAGCTCCTCATTTGGACACTAAACATAGCTAGAAAAATATAAAGAAATGCTATTCTAAACTGAGCTTAAGAGTATGGAAGAAGGAATGAATAAAAGTGAAGGAAAAGTGTGCTATTTATAGGTGTTTTCAACACCCTGGGGCGGATTCCCGACCGGGTAAAGTGCCATACCCGACCGGGTATCAGTCAAAATCAAATATTTGCCACGTTCTGGTGATCTTCGCACGTCGTTTTGTCCCGGGTCACATCTGACCCGACCGGGTCAAGTAGGGGACCCGACCGGGTCAAGTAGGGGACCCGACCGGGTCCAGTGACTTTCTTGGCAATTTCGTCTGTTAAATCATACCCGACCGGGAGGGGGTTTCTACCCGGTCGGGTTTTACTCCTGGGTAGTCAACTTTCTTGTTTTCTTCTCTGCAAAGTCTTCCTTTCCAACACCATAATTCCTAATTCTACTTTACAACTAATAAATGAAGATTAAAATACAATTACAACTAAATTCACACATATGTTTACAAACTAAATAAAACGGTAAACAATACACACAAATCAATCATAAAAATATACATTTATGTACTACTAATTAGTGCATATCAAATACCCCCACACTTGAACCTTTACTCGTCTCGAGTAAATCAAATCCGGTCCAAGAAGTCCTTAAAATGACAAGAATATCAACACACACATCCATGAGTGTTTTTAGAAACACATAAAGTATATCCCCAAAAATATAACAGTAAAGAGGGTCTTCAACTCCATATTTCTTTATCAACCTCAACCTTTTTTTTCGTTACCCTTAGGATCCTGCAGAAATAAAAGAAAATACTTTCTCTCGTTCTCTCATTTTGCCTAGGTGCCTTTTCGGGTTTTCATCCCAACTTCCCACATTTTTCTGTTTTAATCCTCAAAACTCACTCTTATTTTTGCTTTATTTTTGCTTAAGTTGCCCTTTCGGTTTTTAACTTAACAAGCTTTTTTTTCTTCTTTTTTTAACAAGAATAAAGAGTATGAATGTGAGTATTCCATAAAACTCTCCCCCTAAGCTAATCAAAGCACTGTCCCTAGTGCTTGTGTCTGATATGAATGTGTTTTTTTTTGTTACTTTTTGGGAGGTTTTGTTGGTGATTCGTGGGTGTGGAGATAAAAAGGGTGAAGAGGAGATGAATGAAATGGGTTTAATTGGTGAATAGATGTAGGAGATATGAAGCTTTTGAGTTTTGGGAATGGAGGAAATTTGGGGTGTGGTTCGAATAGGAAGACAAAGGGGGGTGACTCATTTTTTTTTTAGAAATGGCCTGCTTTCCAAAAAAAATCGAGATACCCGGCCGGGTGGGGTAGTGTACCCGGTCGGGTGTTTCATCCCAGGGATCGGGTTATGATATTTTCCATTCACCCGGTCGAGTTTCTTTTCCCAAGGGTGGCAGTAGCTCCCCTTTGTGATAACCCGGTCGGGTTTCATGAAGCACCCGGTCGGGTATATCAAAATCTTTTGTTTTTATTTTCCGCCCCGCCCGGGTGACAGGGTGGGTGAAGTGTTTTGAACTAGTATCCGGCCGGGTTTGTTTCCCTTTTTTTTTTTGAAATGTGAAAAATAAAATAAAACAAGTAAACGTACCTTGCATGGGTTGCCTCCCAAGAAGCGCCTTATTTAACATCGTGGCACGACACCATCATTGTGTTCAGTCATTCAAACTTGGATCATGATAGTTTGTCTTTTTCACACTTTCACTCCTAAGACGTTCATAGGAGTGCTCAACTTCTCGACTCTTCAATTTGGGAATCTTTCCAGGATCAAATATCCCGATTGTCATTGATTCATGCGGTGGGAGGAAAGGGAAGAAATTATCGTTTAATATGGTCAATGAAAAGTTTTTCGATCCCTCAATTTTGAAGAGGATTTCAGAAATGTCATTGTCGTTTCCAAGTTTATTAGTTTCCCTCAAAATTTTTAGAATTGATGGGGGTACCTCAAAAGATGACAAGGATAGATATTTGACCTTGAAGCTCAGATTATCGTCTTCTTTGACCAGTTGGAGCTCCATGTCTTTTTCTTCCTCTACTTCTTCTGGATTCTGGATCTCCTTTTGCATTTCCTTTTCATTTGTCAATGTGATTGCAAAAGTTTGCTGTTTAGGATCACATTCTAGTTGAGAAGGAGGTTTTTCTGAATCCCTTGCTTCAAGCCTACTCACGACTCCGGCTATTTGACTCATTTGAGTTTCCAAGTTTAAAATGCTAGACTTGGTCTCATTTTGGAATTGCACCATGTTTTGTTGCATGGCGGTCACACTGTTAGTAAGAGCCCGAACCATGTCCTATGTGGACATATTAGAGTTGGAGAATGGATCATACCTCATGTGAGGTACATCATCTATTTGTGCAAGGTATTCTTCTTGGAGTTTTGGACAAAAGTCTGTAAGATGCCTGTGAGACATGCAAATGTTGCATGTCTTGGCATCTTGAGCTTTTGAGTTAAAGATAGATTCCTTTATTAGAGAAATCAAGAAGGAATATTGACTCTCTAAGGATGAAGTGTTGGTATCCATATACTCATAACTCATGTAAGCTCAGAAAATAGAAGAGGAAGAATTTTTTTTTGTTTTTAATTTTTATAAAATAAAAAGAAAAGTAATTGCCTTTCCCCGGCAACGGCGCCAAATTTGACGTACACTTTGTCACAGTGCGTCAAAATAATTTCAATACTAACACTTATACGTAGTATGGCGTAGTAGAGTTCGTATCCACAGGGAAAGGAATAATTCTCTTTTTATGAAACTTAGTAAATAAAAGGGGGGATTTGGATTGAGTGATTTAATTTAATTAAAAACTAAGATGAACGACCTATATGAGATTTAATTCGAAGATAAAAAGGACTTGGCATTGCTACTTTCCACTTGTTGATATATTTTAGTCGATCATTGTTATATCTATAACTTATTCCCTCTCGAATACTCAATCGGGGAGTATATCCACTTCATCGAGGGTAGTTATTAACAACAACCGTTCATTAATAACCCTTACTATTAATCAAATATAGAACAACGCCTTATACCGATTTAATAGTAGCATTTAATCTTTCTAACTCCTTGATGAAATCAATTGAGATTGATAACCTCAACACAACGGTTTAACCAACAAAATTAATCCCTCTTAAGTTTATTAACCACGACTGTGCATTAATAAACTGAAGTTACTTACTTGTGAAACCATCAACGATTAACCATCGGTTCGTTGACCGTTTCTAGTAATAATTAATATATGAAACAAAACTAGTTGATCCTTTAAGTAATGTTCAAAATATTAATATGAAATATGAGTAGGAATTAATTAATATTCAAGGAAGAATATTATTAAAGAAGATGAATCCTACTATAATTAATATCAAGATGTTAACTAATTGTCATCTTAGCAACACTCCCCAACATTAATATAGAGGAAGAAAATACCATTCTAACTAATGTCGAGATATTAACTAATTGTCATCTTAGCAACACTCCCCAACATTAATATAGAGATGGTATTAAGGAAAGAACTATTAATTAATATTCAAGGAAAGAAGTTAAGAAAATAACTCACAACTTTAATAATCAACAAGCTTCAAGAGCAACACCAAGAAATGGAAGTTTAGCTCCTCATTTGGACACTAAACATAGCTAGAAAAATATAAAGAAATGCTATTCTAAACTGAGCTTAAGAGTATGGAAGAAGGAATGAATAAAAGTGAAGGAAAAGTGTGCTATTTATAGGTGTTTTCAACACCCTGGGGCGGATACCCGACCGGGTAAACTGCCATACCCGACCGGGTATCAGTCAAAATCAAATATTTGCCACGTTCTGGTGATCTTCGCACGTCGTTTTGTCCCGGTTCACATCTGACCCGACCGGGTCAAGTAGGGGACCTGACCGGGTCCAGTGACTTTCTTGGCAATTTCGTCTGTTTAATCATACCCGACCGGGTGGGGGTTTCTACCCGATCGGGTTTTACTCCTGGGTAGTCAAATTTCTTGTTTTCTTCTCTTCAAAGTCTTCCTTTCCAACACCATAATTCCTAATTCTACTTTACAACTAATAAATGAAGATTAAAATACAATTACAACTAAATTCCCACAAATGTTTACAAACTAAATAAAACGGTTAACAATACACACAAATCAATCATAAAAATATACATTTATGCACTACTAATTAGTGCATATCAATGACCCGACCGGGTTTGCGCTCCTGACCATTTTTATCTTCAGCTTTTCTCCTTTTCCTTGCTAAAAACACTACTACTATTCTACAACTATAAATGAAAGCAAAAAACAATTACAAACAACATAAAACAAATGTTTACAAACTAACTAAAGATGAAAGAAAATCCACACAAAGTTAATACAAAAACATACATTTATGCACTATAAACTAGTGCATATCAATGAGTTTGTTACAGGAGATAAGAATTGAGAAGATTAATACAAGTAAACCACTCCAAGATAAGTACAAATTATAATTACATATAATTAATAATAAGTAGTGATTATCCTATTATGCCCCCGCAAGCGAGAGCGGCCCTGGTAGGATGGCGAGCTTGGACCTGTGAGAAAGAAATAGAGAACGAGCTAACGGTTTAGTGAGGGAATCGGCTAGCTGGTCTTTTGTATGAACGTGACTAACTCGAAGGAGTCCTTGAGGGATTTGTTCTCGAGCAAAGTTAAAGTCAATAGCGACATGCTTCATTCCGGAGTGGAGAACGGGATTAACACACACATAAGTGGCACTTATGTTATCACAAAAAATAGTAGAAGACTGTTTTAGTGTGACGAGTTGTGGGCCGGTGCATGTACTGAGAAAGTTTATTAACAACAAAACTGATATCTGACCGTGTAAAGGAAAGATACTTTAATGCACCAATAACACTTCTATACTTTGTGGCGTCATGAGGAGAAGAACCATCAGAAAGTGACAAAGGAGCATCCGGCGAAAGAGGAGTAGGAACGGGACTGGCATCTTGAAAACCAGATTGCAAGAGAAAGGTCCGAAGCTCACAATACCAGGCTCGGGGAGCTTGGCGTAGCCCATATAAAGCTTTATGAAGAAGGCACACATGATCTGGAAACATAGGATCAGTGAACCCCTACGGCTGTTGCATATAAACTCGGTCAGTCAAAGTGCCCTGCAAAAATGTGTTATTCACATCCAGTTGATGTATAGGCCAATTCTGTGAAATGGCTAATGTAAGAATAACCCGCACGGTGACCGGTTTGACCACCGGACTAAATGTATCGGTGAAATCAACTCCAGGACGTTGATGAAACCCCTTTGCAACCAAACGTGCTTTATACCGAGCAATTGATCCATCCGGATTTTGTTTCACCCGAAACACCCATTTACACCCAATAATATTTTGTGTGGAGGTAGAAGGGACAAGAGACCATGTGTGATTTTTTTAAGGGCTTGAAACTCATCCAGCATGGCATGGCGCCATTCTGGAATTGCTGCCGCTTGTTTATATGTGGTAGGGGCAATGGGCAGACTGGAGGAGATAAGAGTGTGGAGAGCATATTTAGGATTTGGTTTGAAAATATGGTTTTTGGACCGTGTGACGGGGGAGCTGGGTTGACGGGTAATCGGCTGGTGTGGGGAATTATGAGAAGTGGTGTCATTTTGGGAGGGAGAGGCGGGTGAGTGCATGGAAGTATTTGGTGACTGGGATTTGTGAGGAGATAAGGGAGGGGAGTTGTTGGTCAGAGGAGAGTTATTAGGTGGGGTAGAGTTTAGAGACGTGGCGGGAAAAGGGGAGTGTGTACCACTGGGTGGATTAGGAGTTTGTTGGGATGGGGAGGGATTGTCACGTGGGAGCAGAGGAAACATTCGAGGAGATAAGGTAGGAGAGTCAGATAAGTGTGGAGAGGTTGTTGGAACAGATGGGGATGTGCGAAAAAATAAGTCTATAAGAGTATATGATGGAGCGGACTTGGGTTTATATTTTGTGTATGGTAGTTCATATTCAAAAAATTTAACATGATGAGAAATGTAAACTTTATTTTGGGTGGTGTATAGACATATATGGGCATGATGGGTTGCGGAAAAACCAAGATAGACACACGGGCGGGAGCGAGGTTGTAATTTATTTGGGACATTCACCAAATAATTTAGAGAAGGGACTTTGATGATTAAGCAGGGGAGTGGGGAGACGGTTAATAAGATATGTGGCATACTGGAAAGCATATGGCCAAAAAGAAATTGGAACGGAGGCAGGATGAAGCAATGTTAATGCCATTTCAACAACATGACGATGTTTTCTTTCTGCGGAACCAATATGTTCGGGTGTGTAAGGAGGAGAGATAAGGTGTTGAATGCCATGTGTAGTTAAGAGGGGCGCAAGAGACGTAAACTCACCACCACCATCTGTGTATAAGGTTTTTATTTTCGTACCAAAATAATTTTCAATTAAGGCACGAAATTTATTAAACACAGGATAGACATCAGATTTGTTTTTAATGGGACAGAGCCAAGAATATTTGGTATAATAATCTACGAAAATAACATAGAATCGAGAATTATTAAAACCAATAATGGGAGCCGGTCCCCATACATAAGAATAAATGTACTGAAAAGCACTAGTACAATTAATTGATGATATAGTGAAAGGGAATTTATGACTTTTAGCTCTAAGACATGAATCACAAATAGACTTGGGAGTAGAAATCCCGGTTATTCGATGTTGAGTAGAGGAAGACGGATGGACCAAACGTTGATGCCAAGGCTTAGAAGAAATAGAATAGGCTTGTGGAGAGAGACTCGACCAAGTGTATAAATTATTTTCACTCCGGCCTTGAGCCAAGGATGCCCCTGTGGTTAGATCCTTCACAATAAAAGAAGTGGGTGAGAATTCTATAGAGGTGTTGTTTTGTTTACAGAACTGGTTGACATATGTGAGATTAAATGAAGAATTAGGTGAATCAATAACCGAAGAACCAATATGAGAGATTGGGATAGTTTTACCATTGCCAACAGCAACTGAATCAGTGCCATGATAATTTGAGTGAAGATTCAAGGTGTTGAGATCAGAAGTGATGTGATGAGTTGCTCCCGTGTCAAGCAGCCAAGTGTTGTTGTTTCCTGGATCACCACTTGACGTGGCATGTGCACTTGGGGAATTAGTTTTGAGTGTATAGCACATACGAGCAGTATGGCCGAATTTTTCACATAATTGGCATTGAATGTGCTGACTAGAGGAGGTTGGTCGTGTCTGACCACCTGAGGCGTAGGATTGAAGGGCGTGAGACCCATATCCAGGGTGAGATTGAAAATTCGTGCTTCGACCCCGTCCGCGACCACGGCCACGAGAATTTTGACGGCGTTGATTGAACTGAGCAGTAATTGGGAGGGTGGAACAGGTTGCACCCGAAGAGCGCCTACCAGGTCTTTAAAACTCAGTTCCGAGACCGGATAAGACATATGATGCAATCTGGCCATCACTGGGAGGGTGACCGATTGTCACTAAATCATCAATGAGAGTTTTCAAGGTATTCATATACTCTGTAACAGTTTTGCCGGCTTTTTTGGTATTCATGAGAGTGGAAAGAAGAGATAACATCCGGGTCGTGGAGGTATTGGCAAAACTGCTTTCAAGTTTTTTCCAAGCTTCGGCAGAAGTGGAACATGAATTGATGATGGGGCAAATGTTGATTGCTGACGAGCACTTTGTCACGGTGCGTCAAAATAAATTCAATACTAAACACTTATACGTAGTATAGCGTAGTAGAGTTCGTATCCACAGGGAAAGGAATATTTCTCTTTTTATGATACTTAGTAAAAGGGGGGATTCGGATTGAGTGATTTAATTTAATTAAGAACTAAGATGAACAACCTATATGTGTTTAATTCAAAGATAAAAAGGACTTGGCATTGCTACTTTCCACTTGTTGATATATTTCAGTCGATCATTGTTATATCTATAACTTATTCCCTCTCGAATACTCAATCGGGGAGTATATCCACTTCATCGAGGGTAGTTATTAACAACGACCGTTCATTAATAACACTTACTATTAATCAAATATAGAACAACGCCTTATACCGATTTAATAGTAGCATTTAATCTTTCTAACTCCTTGATGAAATCAATTGAGATTGATAACCTCAACACAAGCGGTTTCGGTTTAACCAACAAAATTAATCCCTCTTAAGTTTATTAACCACGACCGTGCATTAATAAACCGAAGTTACTTACTTGTGAAACCATCAACGATTAACCATCGGTTCGTTGATCGTTTCTAGTAATAATTAATATATGAAACAAAACTAGTTGATCCTTTAAGTAATGTTCAAAATATTAATATGAAATAAGAGTAGGAACTAATTAATATTCAAGGAAGAATATTATTAAAGAAGATGAATCCTACTATAATTAATATCAAGATGTTAACTAATTGTCATCTTAGCAACACTCCCCAACATTAATATAGAGGAAGAAAATACCATACTAACTAATGTCGAGATGTTAACTAATTGTCATCTTAGCAACACTCCCCAACATTAATATAGAGATGGTATTAAGGAAAGAACTATTAATTTATATTCATCGAAGAAGTTAAGAAAATAACTCACAACTTTAATAATCAACAAGCTTCAAGAGCAACACCAAGAATGGAAGTTTAGCTCCTCATTTGGAAACTAAACATAGCTAGAAAAATATAAAGAAATGTTATTCTAAACTGAGCTAAAGAGTATGGAAGAAGGGATGATTTTTTGTGAAGAAAAAGTGTGTTATTTATAGGTGTTTTTCAACACCTTTGGTCGGGTACCCGACCGGGTCAAGTACTCACCCGATCGGGTCCGGTCAAAATCAGATATTTCCCCACGTTCTGGTGATCTTTGCACACCGGGTTGTACCTGGTCACTTCTCGCCCGACCGGGTGAGGTATGGGGCCCGACCGGGCCCAGCTCTTTCCTCAGTGCTTCGGTTTTCAAATCAGACCCGACCGGGTGCAATTTCCTACCCGGTCGGGTATTTGCTCCTGGACAGTTAAAATTACTTTTTCTTCAGTTCAACATCCTCCTTTCCAACATCCTAATTCCTAATTCTACTTTATAACTTACAAATGAGAACTAAAATACAATTACAACCAAAATCACACAAATATTTACAAACCAAATGAAACGTCAAACAATCACCATCAATGAAACATAAAAACATACAATTATGCACTACTAATTAGTGTGCATCAATTGTCACGGTAGATTGAATGGCCAAGAGAACAAGGCGATCCTGATGAGCCCATAGAGAATGCATGGGGTCAGTGCAGGCGGGACACTTAGAAGTGTCGTTGACATAGCCCGAGAGGTCATACCCAAAGAAAAGATTTGTGAGTAGGGATTTCCAGGAAGAGTAATTGCATCCATCTTTGGAGAGCTTGATTGGAATTTGAGAAGATGCATTAAAAGAGACTAGTTGGGGTGTGACATCACTGGTAACAGGAACAATGGATTAACTAGAGGAGGGTGACATGATGAGCTGGGGGGGGAAAATTGGATCTTGCTCAATCGTAATTGATGGATGTGATACCATAAAGGATAATTAGCAAACAAGACTTGCTCTCTTGAATGAGAGGAGCCGGCTATAAATAGTGTATTAATCACACATGTATGAGTTTGTTACGGAAGTTAAGAATTGAGAAGATTAATACAAGTAAACCACTCTAAGATAAGTACAAATTATAATTACAGATAATTAATAATAAGTAGTGATTATCCTATTACAGGGAAGTTCAGCCGCCTCGTCATAGGCCATGGCGGCTTCCTCCGCCATCTTGAAGGATCCCAGCCAGAGCCGAGCATGGTTCTTAGGCAGTCGGATCTTAGTGACCGATTTCCCCCGGTGACGCTACTGCACCCCTCTGTAAAGCTTGGTGGGTTGTTGCTTCATGAACACATGCTTCAGGATGAGTGCAGCACTGCAGTGTGTTAGAATGTAAACTTGATTTTGGGCTAAGTTAATAATTGATGTTTGTTGTAATGGGCAAAGCCCAAAATAATAAGGAGTGTTCTAGAGGAGATATGTTCTAGAAAGTTTCTAGAGTGTGAGACTTCTAGAGACATTCTAGAGAATAATTAATAATAGAGTATTCTAGATAAGGAGAATTCTAGAGAACTCTCCACCATTTATTGAGGATGTAAGTAGTATAAATATGTGTAGTTGTGCTCATTTGTAATCAAGCATCAAGCTAAGAAATCTTCAAGCAATAAAATACAAGTTCTCTCTTCTTCCATCCTCTCTAGTTAGCTAAAAGCTTTTTCTACTTACACAATTTACTTCATAACGTCCTAAAATACTTAGCCTCTACCTCTAATATTCCAACAAATTGGTATCAGAGCCATGGCTAACGGGATGCAATCCTTTCAATTCCCTCGCCTAAACAAAGACAACTATAGTACTTGGTGCATCCGAATGAAGGCAATATTAGGTTCACAAAAGGTGTGGGATTTGGTGCTGAATGGCTACGTTGAACCGGAGGATAAAAGTACTCTTAGTGCACTCCAAAAGGACGCATTAGAGAAGGCTCGGGAGAAGGATCAAAAGGCAATGACTCTCATTCATCAATGTTTGGATGAGAATCAACTTGTGAAGGTTGCAAATGCAACTACTTCGAAGCAAGTTTGGGAGATTCTTCAAAATACATATCGTGGAGTCGATAAGGTAAAACGCGTTCGTCTCCAAACACTTAGAGGTGAGTTTGAGTCTCTTCAAATGAAGGAATCCGAGTCTATTTCTGATTATTTTGATAGAGTTGAGAAGGTAGTAGATGAACTAAGGAGGAATGGAGAAAATTTGGAAGATACAAGAGTGGTAGAAAAAATTCTTCGCTCTTTAACTCCAAATTTTGAGCATGTGGTAGTAGCTATTGAGGAATCACATGATATAGACTCGATGACTATAGACCAACTTAACGGATCACTAGTGGCCCATGAAGAAAAAATGAAAAAGAAGAAAGTGCAATATCCGTTGGAGCAAACACTTTATACACAACTTTCATTCAAAAGAGGTGATGGTCAAAGAGGGCGAGCTAGGGGCCGTGGACGAGGTCGAGGCCGAGGAAGAGGACATGGTGAAAATCACCAAGAACACGAAGAAGAGAAAAAACAACACTTCAAGCCGACAAGAGGTCGTGGAAGAGGCGGATACCAAAGGTATGAGAAATCACAAGTTAGATGCTATAATTGTGATAAATTTGGTCATTTCGCTTCCGATTGCAAGGCAAATTACTGTGAAGTGGAAGAAAAGTTTAACCAAGTCAAGGATGAAGTCGATCTTACCTTATTGATGGCACATGATCTTAAAGAGAAAGAAAGAAAGAGTGTGTGGGTATTAGATACCGGCGCAAGCAACCACATGACCGGTGATAAAACCATGTTCGCGGAAATTAAACAAGCCAATGGAAAAGTCACATTTG